AGGGTTTTTGGTTTATAGGGTTTAGGGTTCAGGGTTTAGGGTTTATAAGGTTTAGGGGTTAGGGTATAGGGTTTGGGGCGCAGGGTTTAGAGGCACAGGGATCGGGCATAAGAGTCCCCGGGCCGGGGGGGGTTTGGGTTTACGGATGGGCCCCAAAACCCTATTCTAATTATTTTGGCCCCTATATTAGGGTTCGTATGGCTTTTGTTCGGTTCGGGGCTTATGGTCTTGTGACTGCAGTTGACCGGGACAACCTCGACCTGCAAAAAGAGCATGACATGGGCATAAACCTTAACATCACTCCTGAACCCTAAACCCTAAACCCTAAATTCTAAACCCCTAAACCCTAAACCCTAAACCCTGTACCCCTAAAACCCTAAACCCTAAATTCTAAACCCCTAAACCCTAAACCCTGAACCCTGAACCCTACTCTAGAATGAAACCGACAGCACCCCCTGAGACTGGAGCTTTCCCATTTCGCCGATAAGGCTTGCATGATCATAGAGGTGACCGATGGTGATGGTGATGCAGACGAAGAGCAAGATGAAGGTGCTGATGATGATGAGGATGAGGATGATGATGATGATGGTGATGATGATGATGATGATGATGATGAGGAGGAGGAGGATGAGGATGATGAGGATGAGCATGATGATGATGATGATGAGGAGGAGGATGAGGATAATGATGACGATGATGATGATGATGATGAGCATGATGATGATGAGGATGAGGATGATGATGGTGAGTATATGCCATGATGACCATGATGTGGATGACGGTGGATGACTGCAACAAAGCCGACGATGAAGCTTGTGACGAAGATGCGGAGAAGAAAACCATACGTGTCAAAATGATCATGCGCTAGATGAACACCAAAAAGGATCGTCTCGGTAGGAAGGTCAGGCGGCTTCCGTGAGGGTGGCCGGTCATGGTCCGGTCAGTACGGTACAGACGATGATGGCGGTTGTGATCATGCTGAAGGCGTGGTCGACAAACACAGTCACGGTCCCGAAATTTCTATCAATACTGCGATGCTGATGATGCTACTCCTACCGATGACGACGGCAGAACCTACAATGAAGATGGTGCCACAAGACTCCAAGTGCGCCTACTAAGATATTGCCGCAGGCCTTGCGGCGGCAGACCGCACAGTCTCTCGTCCATGTACCAAGCGCACCAAACAGGCACCAGCCGTCCTCACCTGTGTCATATTGAAGCCAGAAACGAACAAGTTCTTGCCGCTTCCATTCTCCGAGATTGAAGGTCTCGCCTACCATAGTGCATGGTTCAGACGAATCTGGCGATTCTGCACTGGTGGAAGTTGGTCCCAGACTAACACAGCCACAAAATTCAGGTAAAGCAGTGTCCCCGTATTTCCATGAAATCTAAAAGCGAAAATCATCAAAAACCGAGCCGCAAATTAATGCACCAATCATCACGCTGAGAACTACGAGTAAGACAGCAAACCAAAGCATAAGTTAATAAGAGTAGCAGCAGCAGCAGCAGCAGCAGCCGCAGCAGGAGTAGTAGTAGTAGTAGTAGTAGTAGTAGTAGTAGTAGTAGACGCAGTAGTAGTAGTAG